ATATTAACTCGAGAATCATGGAAAGATATTCACCCTTCACTGTTTCGAATTCAGCTTTCATGCGCAGGTGCGTGAAACTTCTAACTATTTTTCAATGTTTCAACTATTTTTGCATAGACTAAAATACGGAACAGTGAAAATCATTAATAGGCAATTGTTCGATGGACTGAATTGCACAGAATGCATGATCGCACCGGCTAGTCTGGAGCGCGTTGCTATTTGTTATTTATTCTATCATTCTAACCACCTCTTCTGTTTCACTGTGCCTAAAACAATGACTTAAGAATGCGAGACGTAATTGACGAGTGAGCAGTAGGTCTGACTGAGAGAGTGATGGAGTCAAGGATGCTTGGTGTGTGTCTCTTCATAACCATATAAATAATTAAGCTTTCCATCTTATGAGGGGTATGCGAAGCGTAAAATAAAGTTCGATGGGAAGGGTATGTTGTTCAACAATTATTAAAACTCAGCTCTGATCAACCGCTCAGTATACATTCATTTTTGGGTTCATGTTCGAGTTGCAAAAGCTGTGGTGACTTTTTTGTCTAGGTAAGATTCTAGATAATGCATTAAAAATCGCTAACATCCCCTCAAAACTTAGTTTTGTACTGAACATGAAAAGCCCAGATGGTATCTTCCTCTATAAGCCCGCTTTGTTCCCATTTCCTACCTCCAGGCAAAGTCTCAGCTTCTTTGCAGTCAGTGCCTCCTCCCCTCCATTTTCCGCCCTCACCATTACGGCTGCTAAGGACCTAAACCACCATGCCAGCCCTCATCTGCCCTCCAGCTCTCTACGTCTCCATATTCTAATCATTGTAACTCACTTCCCGACCCGGCTGAGAAGAATCGAACGGAGAGTTGTCTGTTGTCATCCTTTCCGACAACCGATGGATTTCACAAGTGGTGCCTGTGGGGAAATAACCGATCACTCAGGCTAATTTTGAAGTTGAACACTTAAATTGAACAAGCACAACAGCATCGAACGGCCTAGTTTAACTGCGTTTGGCGTGTGGGAGCATCTTGGCAGCATCACTGGCACGGTTTATATATACTAACTACCTGGATAGTCTTGGTTTTCTGTTTATTTTACATCGATTGGAGTTCACACAATTATCATGGTAGTCTCGATA